TATATATATATATATATATATATATATATATATATATATATATATATGTATGTATATACAGGTGTGCGTGTGTATACATGCATTTGTGTTGTGCCAGTGTATGTACACATTCATGTTGTTACTGTCTTTTAGAGATAGTCCGCTAACAAAAAATGTTAATAAGGTGGAAGAATAAGAAAAAAAGGCTATTATAACGACAACAAAACATGAGCAAGACATAAAATAGGAAAAGATAAAGCTAAACTGGTCTACCCCTCATCCACCACCGCTAACCAAATGAAGCTACAGGTGTATTTAGACTTTGGCCTTATTTCATATTCCAAACCAAAACCAATTGATTAGATCGTCGCCATTAATACTTTAAAGGCATGAAAAGAAAAAACCATTTGAAAATCTGTTAACTTGTATTTACACTTCACGCCTGGCGCTTTATTTCCCCCCTCTTTCTAGTCAGAAACAGAATTTGTTAGACGTCTTAAAGTCTATCTTGTTTAAATGAGTACTATACACTATACTCTTGTTTACGTATATAGTTAAGTCAAGTAAAGTCTTTGCATATGTATGTAAGACTTTGCGTATGTATCTATACAAAAGAACGATTTATTCGAGTTATTGCTGTTGAGATTACTGCTTGTTTTGCGCGGCTTTAAGTTTGACAAGTTTTTTAAAATTAAAAAAAATATATATCTTTACATACTTCATTTTCAAAGCGTTTCTGTAATTATACGCCTTCGTAGGTGAATGTTTGGTAAGTTAGGCAAAAAAATAATTAAATCTGGAAGACGGGAAAAACTCCCATTTCATTGATTCTGTTTGCACATGAACATAAGATTTAACATTAACCGTTTCTATTGATCGACTCAATAGTTTTTAGGCAACTTCATAAATAAGTGCCAGTATATACGAATGAATGTTAAGATATGACATTAACTGATGTTATCTCTATTGATTGAATGAATACCACGTACGCGTGTCCCGTGTGTGCGTATAAGTGCAACATAACCCAAAAAAAAGCAATCAAAATTCTATTTGTATGTGTGTAAACATTAATCTCATCATCATCATTATCAATATCAAGCAACGCAAAGAAAAAAAAAACAAAAGACAGAAACCACCGCCAAAAAAAAAAAACATCAAAATCATACGAAGGGATTGTAAACAATCGCATAGAAAGGAGTAAACGGACTCGAACGAGGCAGTTCGGCTCCGTTCGTTCGTTTAAGTATATAATAAACTAAAAGCATAAAAACATATGGAAATTAGTAACAAGATATTTTATACAAAAAAAACTTATTTCAAATTAATAAAAACGTTACAAGTGATGCAAAGGACTAACACTTAAGATGATTTATACGAAAATTTATATTTAACGCGGTGTTTAACAAATGAATGCATTATTAATCGCTATAAGAATGGAAAATAAGAAAAATAGTTTCTCTCTCCCCCTCCTTCTCTTTTACATACGTATATGTTCGTGGCTTATCAATGTTTATTTGTTTATGCTTCAAGGATTTTGATCAACTTCTGAACTCATTTATAATATATATAATATATTTGTACACATACGTATATATATATTTAAAAAACCGACAAAGAGCGCACAAAAGAAAATAGAAATAAATCAGTATTGTTTTGTTTGATTTGATATACAAGACATATCTTTGAAACTGCAGTACAACAGTCAACGGACCAACACACTGGTGAGCTCAAAGCATTATTTTAATTACGCGATTTATAGCAGTTTTCCTAAGACTTTTATAAGAAGTCGGTAAAAGTCAGTTTTTGATTACCAATCAGACATAAAGATTTTTTTCTATTGTGTTTATGTACTTTGAAAAATATTGAGCCCACAAAAGCGACATAGTAAAATCTAAATGGCGAAACGGTAGACAAAATTGTAATCTGGATTAGAAGAACTGATTGACTGTTAAGCCGAAAAAGGCATAAAACCTATACGTCAATAAAATCTGTACGACATCACAAGCAAATAGCAGCACTTGCCCATGTTTGTCCATTGGTAACTGCTCACTATAATTTCATTCACCCTAGACACTTGTTGACGATCATTAAAATGAATTGAAAGTAGAAAAACTTGAAATTCGGACTTTGATTTTATATTTATTCTGCAAAAGCACCAAGCAAACTAAAAACGATTTGGACGGGACGGGACGGCTGCACTATCATTTATTACGGCGAAATTTTCTATAGTTGTAACGAGTCACGTCCACACTAACTTGGGTGACAGTAAACTTAGTTCGGAAATTTTTCACACAACTGGCGTATAAAAAATAATATAATTATAAAAATTTGTACTTCATTGAGGATATAAATTTTCAAAAACATTAACAAATAGCAAGTACAAACGCTATGATGCTTACTCTGACTTTTTTGCGAATGGTGAGGACCTTAATCCAAATATATTGAAAAACTCTTCTTCATTTTCACTTTCATTTTGGATTCACTGTCAGAACTATTTTTAAATTCGATGTGATAGCAAAGATCTAATCAAAAAAATTCCACCGGTACGCGCCTACATTACGTGAATCCACATGGAAAAACCTTCCAAACAAGCTAAACATATTCAAATTCTGATTTTCGAAACCATTTCTACGGTTTATGCTTACATACCAAATTTCCAGATTTTAATGAAAATAGTTCCGAAAAGCAGGATTTGAATTTGCTCGACTTGCTTGAAAGCTTTTTTTATACAGATTCATGAGGTATTAGTAAAAATATTTCCTAATTTGTACGTAATAGGCTTCTAAGCCCAATTATACATACCTTTATCCTAACCAATTAATACGCTACGGCTTTTACAGAACTCTGTGAACAGTGTTGATAAATGTCTCTGCTAATTAAATTCGAATTTATCCCCACACCCGTTTCCGGAACATCAGTCATCCACCGTCAATAAAAAATTGAACACTGGAAAACTTGCATAAGTAAGTTTCCCATACTTTGGAAACCCTATTAATAATATTCCTGTGGATAAATTTCCCAGATATATTAGGTAGTCCGGAAATTTCTTGCGGGGTTTCACTAAGAGAAAAAAATTTGGTTTTATATATAAGGAGTACACTTGTTTTTTCGAAAATGAATTAAGGTTTTCCGCAAGTTCACGAATGGTTATGTGTGGATCTGCTCCAATTATAAAGCAAAAGACTTATGTCCATTTAAAACATCTTGTTTTGTCAATAGCTGCCATGGCTTGCGTGCTTCTGATGACTTGCTCCGCATTTAAGTTTTTCAACTATTTTAACCATTTTTCCGCGTTTTCGAACACTACCTGTGTACTTCCGCGTGCAGATTTTTAACGGGGTGAGTGTCAACAACAAATAAACAGATGAATATCTAACTCGATTTTACATTAAAGATTGATCGAGCATGTACTTTGGAAACATAGAAAACGTAGGAAAGAATGAAAAAAGCAATATGATCCTGTTTAACAGGATAGGGAAAAGAAAACAATAAGCAAACCATATGGATATTTTGAGTATTTCATAAAAAGGAAAAAATCGAACGTTTTTTATATTTGCTTTATGTGACTTTCATTTCACACGCAAAGTGTTCGTGTTTATTTCCACACTTACCAACGGTAGGTGTGTAAAATTTATTACACAACCAACATAACATTTATTTTCTCATCTGTTAGTTATGTTTAACGAGCTCTAAATGAACTAAGAAATTAATTGAGCCGAATAAATATTAATGGACAATTCGCTCGTTACTCTTAGTCGGTAGAAAAGAAGTTATCAACGAACCTTATTTACGCCCATCCCCGAAGGATGGAGATATATTTGTTTTGTCAAAACGTTTGCAAAACTCAGGAATAAGCTTCAAATATCCCATTAAGTACATACGTTTTTGATCAGCAGCAAATTGTGAATCGATTTAAAGATGTCCGTCTGTCCATCTGTGTAATGTCTGGCCGCAAACACGAAGCTACCCACTTCAAATCTGGCAAAAACATTGAAAGCTCTTCCCCGCAAGTTGGTATTGCAATTGGATCAAATCGGCGGAAATACGCGCCCATAGTACCACATAAGCTGAGACCCCTCAGTTCTTAAAAGGAAAAAAAATATTTTTTTTCTCATTACTCACAAGTTACAACAAATATGAAAATATTTATATAAAGTATCGTGCAGCACATGTACAAGATGAAGAAATCAATGGCGTCTAATGTCGTAGTATGTCAAAATTTGATTTTTTTTGTCAAGAAGCAAGCGTTCAAGAATCGCATTAAGTATATACATTGTTGACCAGTGCCAAATCAATATATCTGTCCATCTATGTGATATGTGCTAAATAATTCTCTGCTCGAAAAAATAAAGCTATTTGCTTCACAAATGACAAAAGCATTGGAAGTTGTTGCACGCAAGTTGATATTGAAAATGGGAAAAATTGGTCAATGGGCAGATATACAGTGAAATTTAAACGGAATGTTGATCTTGGACTGCAGTAGACGCATTATAAAAATTTCCATCCATATTTTATAAAAATGGAAATACTTAGTTGCACTTATTCATTATATTGTTACGGAAGTCCCAAATCTAGTTGATTCCAGCTAAGTCATTTTCTAAAATAATAAATTCCTTAAAGAAAAAAGAAACCAGATGTACATTCGCGAGGCCTCATGCAGCTGCAGGCCGATGAAAACGGTTACCAAAAAAAAGCAGGTTACCGAATTAAAAATCAAGTCATAAAATTAGGTACTAGTAATATGATGGCAAAAATTTGTAAATAGAGCATTTGAAAAGCAAAAGGAGTAGAAAAAAATATTTGAGTTAAGCAGTCGAAAGTATTGCCAAGAAAATAAATTGTGAATAATCTTACATTTAAGGAATATAATTGTAAATAAAAGAGCTTTGAACTTTATTTTTCTTGGACAAGATATCCACGATCCAGTGATACGGACTGTATGTTAATAACAGTATTATAGAGTAGGAAAATTTAGTTTTTCCGTTTTTTTAGTCTTTCAGTCAGGAAAATCGGTCAGTCATTGCTTGCAATATGCGATACATAATAGATAGTGTGGTATGAAATCCAAAAGGTGTGATGTTCTTTTTTGTATAGATATGCAAATGTGTTATATAAAATATATATAAATTATTTTTACAATATATTCCCTTGTACGTATATAGAAGCAACAGCTCACATCTAATGATGAAATAATTGAGGGAAACTATAGGGCTAAGGAAAGTATATGAACGTTAGGCTGAAATTCTCATTACAATATAAAGCAGATATCGAGACGATTACATTTAGGACGTCATCAGCATATCCACGAGTGATACAAATCAAAATGTATGTTGTGCAAGATTGTGCGCCTGTAACAATTTCTCTAATAAAAGAAAAAACAAGCGTCGAGGTCATAGCAAACAAAAACAAAAGCGGACAAGACCGTATCTTCTCCAAAACCTTTGGAAAATTTGTAGGTGTTCATTTTCGCTAACGGGAAAATTTTTACCACAGATATGGACAGATACACAGGCGGACTTGCTTGAGTGCATTTTAAATTTGAAACCGATCAGAGTTTATATACTTTATGGGGTTTTTGAAACTTGCTGCTGTGCGGCTGTGAAACTATGACACACTATAAAATGGATTCAAGTTTACTATTTTTGTAGAAGCATGACAGCTTTTCCCATAGAAGTCGTTCATAAGCAATCACCAAAAAACCAATTTTTAATTCGATTTGAAAAACAGAGCTATTCTTAGCTTTTGGGGTGCTGTGGGCGTGCCCTTCAA